GTCTGAAATCCGGGCCTGTTGCCCTGGCCAGGAATCAAACTGTGACCTCCTGGTTCATGGGTCGATGCTCAACCACTGAGCAACACTGGCCGGGCTATAATTCTGCCCTTCTTAATAATTCGTTTATTTGTGCCTTCTCTTCCTTTTTTTATCTTTCTGATCAATCTTGTTAGAAGTTTGTGTATCTTCTTATTCTTTGCAAAGTATGGATTTCTGGCTTTCCCTCCCATCCAATTGTATTTTTCTTTTCCTGTTCTTTCATCTCTACTGTAAGCTTTGTTATGTCCTTCTTAGACTGGTTTTTTTTTTTTTTTTTTTTAAATATATTTTATTGATTTTTTTACAGAGAGGAAGGGAGAGAGATAGAGAGCCAGAAACAACGATGAGAGAGAAACATCAATCAGCTGCCTCCCGCACATCTCCCACCGGGGATGTGCCCGCAACCCAGGCACATGCCCCCGACCGGAATCGAACCCGGGACCCCTCAGTCCGCAGGCCGACGCTCTATCCACTGAGCCAAACCGGTTTCGGCAGACTGGCTTTTTGTGTGTGGGGGGTGGTGGTGGTGGATTTTATGCTGCTGTTTAGCTCATTGAGCTGAGTGAAGCCTGTAATTTCCCTCTCAGCACCACCTTAGCTGCGTCTCACACATTTGATTGGACTACTGTCATTGCCATGTGGACCCTAGGTGTTCTCTGATTCTTCTTTATCTTGTGAGCTATTTAGAAAGAGGACTTTTTAGAGAGGGAGCTTCTTCTCTTCCCTGGTTGTGATGTGAGGACTGACACATCCTCCTGCTGTGATCTGAGGACTTAGCCTCCACATCTGAGTGGTCTGGGCCACGACCACGTTCACAGACGGATGCAGAGGGAAAGGTGTTCCATCAGAACCCTAGATGGAACCATAGCCATTGTCTTGTTCCTCAAATGCAATCTGCCAAGCCCCTACTCAACTGTGCTTCATGCCATCCTCCCAGCCCCTCTGTGAATTAAGTAACTGTAACCCAACTTTACAAATGAGAGGCCTGAGGTCCGGTCAGAGAGCTGAGGGCTCAAGGTCGCAGGGATGGTGAGCGGCGTCACTTGGTTCTCCTTGGACACCCAGACTCCCTGCTATTTCATCCTCTGGAAGCATCACTGCCTGACTTCGGCATTCCATTCCAATCAGGGGGGCTCAGACTTGAATGAAGGCCCCACACCAATGCAGAGATGGGGCCTAGAAACCTGGCAGACATGGGTTCACTCCTGGCCCTTGGACTTGCCAGGGTGACTTGGAATAAGTGACTCCCCTCTTTGGCCTTGGGTTCCCTGCCTGTGAAGTGGAGCCTCACAGGAAGAGGCGATGGGACCGTTGGTGACAGGCGTACCCTGAATGTCACTGTGACATTGTCCCTGCAGGATGTCGGCCTGCACTGCCCAGAACCAGGAGCTTCAGAGGAAGGTCTTGCATCTCGAGAAGCAGAACCAGTGAGTCTTGGTCCAGCCAGGGCAGAGGACAGGGGGAATCGGCCCCCAAATCCTTTGCAGGAGAGGTGAACATTGTGGGGGAGGGGGGCAACTTCTGTGATGGCAGGGCAGAGCCGGGGGGCAGGGGCGTGGCGGGGGGGGGGCGGTAAGGATTCCACCTAGAAAGGAGGCAGGCTGCATAGCAGAGATTTGGATCTGGGGCCTTAAAAGATGTATAAGAGTTCATGGGGGAAGCTACTCTCTGTAGAGGAAATGGCATATGAATGGCCTGAGGCTAGGAGCATGGTGTATTGGAGAACTATACACAATTCCACCTAAGGGGTGCATCCACTTAGTCAGTTTATTTAGCATCTATTCTGCATCAGACATAGTTCCGGGCACTGGGACCACAAATGAACAAAGACACAGTCCCTCCACTTAAAGAACTCACAGTCTAGTGGGAGACATACTCAAGACAAACAAAAATATATAAAAGATCACACAAATAGTGATAGTTCTTAGAAAAAAGCAAAGTAGGGTGAAGGGCTATTTTATATTGATTTGAGAGAAACATTGATTTGTTGTTCCGCTTATTTATGCATTCATTGGTTGATTCTTTTTTAAAATATATATTTTTATTGATTTCAGAGAGAAAGGGAGAGATAGAAACATATATATGAGAATCTTTGCTCGGCTTCCTCCTGCACGCCCCCTACTGGGGATTGAGCCCCGCAACCGGGCCCTTGATTGGAATTGAACCTGGGACCCTTCAGTTCACAGGCCGATGCTCTATCCACTGAGCCAAACTGGCTAGGGCCTTTGGTTAATTCTTGTATGTGCTCTGACCAGGGATCAAACCTACAACCTTGGAAAATCGGGACGGTGCTCTAACCGTCTGGTGCTTTGTTACCCAGCCAGGGCTGTGGGGCTATTTCAGATAGGAAGGTCAGATACAGTGTTATTTGAGATGAGGCCTAATGGGATGAGAAAAAAACCAGCTGCCAAGAGACCTGGGGGAACAGTGTGCTTAGAGGAAATAGCCTGTGCAAAGGTCCTGGGGCCAGCATGCTGGAGGCATGGTGAGGAGGCCAGTGTGGCTGGAGCAGAGTGAGTGAGGGTGAGGGAGGGAACAGGGGCAAGTTGTGTAGGGCTTCAGCTGCAGAGAGGACTTGAGGGAGGTGGGAGCCCTGAGAGGGTTGGGAGAAGCTGCTTCACATTTGGAAAGCGCCCCCCGGTTGCTGAGTGGGGGCAGGAGAGGCAGGGGGGCAGGAGGGAGGTAGAGCTGAGGGGCACCAGAGAGGAGGATTGGGTTGGCGTCCAGGTGAGCGATCCTGGAGGCCTGGATGGGGTTGCAGAGAAGTGGGTGGGATGCCTTTGGAGATTTACCAAAGCAAATCTGGGACTTGTAAGAGCAGGGGGGCCTTGAGAGGTGGACAGAATCCAGACATCAGCCATGCTGGGGAGCCCAAGAAATGGACAGAGAGCCAGGTTAAGGCCTGTAGGGCTCAGTCAAGGCTGCTCCTTCCACTAAGGTCCCTGTTGGAGCAGCTGAAGAAACTCCAGGCCATTGTAGTCCAGTCCACCAGCAAGTCGGCCCAGGCAGGCACCTGCATAGCGGTGAGTCCTACTCCCTGCTCCGATGGCCCCCAGGATACAGGGGTTCCTCCGCCTTGACAGACTGGCCTGTGGGAGGGGGAAAGGTGTGAGTAGCATGGCCCTGGCCCCAGTTCAAGCATAATCCAGTCTTCTGGGCCTCAGTTTCCCTGCCCAAAAGATGGGTGTGCTTGTAGGGATGGTGGAGGGATGGGGTGACCCCACCCCCATCTCTGGCAGGTCCTGCTGCTCTCTTTTGCCCTCATCGTCCTCCCCTCCATCAGCCCTTTTGCCCTCAACAAAGCCGAGAGCCCCGGAGACTTCACACCGGTGCGAGGTAGGTGGGCCAGAATCCCTTCGGGGTCCCCTCTGGGCTGCATCATGGACATCCCCATGGCTCCTCATGTCCCACTACTGGGCCTCTGGGGGAGGGGAGAGGAGCCCCCCCATGCAGCTGCTCCCTGAAGCTGGGAGATAAGGAAAGAAGAAGCACCAGTCTCCCCACCCCACCCCTCATGAACCCCCAACCCTCGCTCAGTCTTCTCCAGAACTTTGCACAACGACGCCGCTTCCCGTGTGGCCCCCGACACCACGCCAGGTTCCGAGGCCCCAGGACCTCAGGCCGAGGCTGGCGCACCTCAGGGAGGGTCTCCACGCAGCCCCAGGGTACACTGGAAATCCCAGGACATGCTGGCTCTGGAAAACTCGACGGAGGAGCTGAACAAGTCGACCCTGGTCCAGGGCAACTGGGCAGAGGAGCTGAGCCAGGCCACCCTGCTGGACTGGGCCTCATCTGAGCCAGCACTCAGCCCAGGTCTGGTGGGGCTGGAGGCGGTGGGGGAGGAGCTGTGAGTGCCGCCTGGATGTGACTCCAGGCCCCTCGGCTCAGGGGCACTGTGGTGGGCGCTGCAGTGGAGGCAGGGGGTTGGAGGTGAGAGAGGCCCCTGTGGAGATGCCAGGATGGAGATGCACAAACACACAGCTACATACCCAGGGACCCAGACACAGGAGCAGAAACTGATGCTCAGACCCAGGGCAACCCTGAGGCCACAAAGCCTGAGAAATACACACAGACCCAGGCACAGATCGGACAGGCAGACACAGTGATCCATAGACCCTGACAGACAAACACACAACATGCCTCAACAACTGCGCTGCCTGGGGACTCCTCCCCCTCCCTCACACACCGGGAGGAGGAAGTGACAGACTGCAGAGGGCCTGGCCCCTAAGCCCTGGCTGGGCTCTGAACTTGGGATGGCCACGGCCACCCTCCACCTTCTCTGACTGCCGTGATCCTTAATAAAATATTGTGACAGAACACGGTTGGTCTGGGAGTGTAACTGGGTAGAAGCTGGAGTGTGGGGCTCCCCAACCCCCAGAAGGTGGGGCTGGGCGGGCCCGGGATGGGGGAGTAAGGTGGGGGGATCCCAGGCACCCAGGGCTGGAGAGGCGGCCCGAGGCGCCAGGCATGTCTTCAGCACCGTGGAGAGCGGCAGCCGACGGAGCGCGAGGTCCTGGTGTCTTTGGCGGCCTCCAGGCGCCCTGCAAGAGCATCCGCCTTCCTTCCGAGGGGGCCGGGCTGCCCACCCTGCTCGTCTCACCCGTGAAGAGACTGAGGGCCTAAGGTTACCGCTGGGTTGGGTTGGGGTGGAACCCAGTTTCACCTGAGCTCTTAGGGGTCACCCCAGCCCTGCCCCTTTGCGCAGGTGTCCCAGGGCTGCAATCGCAACCAAAGGATCTTTCCTTGCGTGGCTCACAGCCTAGCAGTGAGGGCAAATATTAAAAACCACGCAGACAGGCGCACAACTACAAACTGAACGTTTAAGGAGCGCCAGCAGCGATTGCCCTGTGTCTGGACTGCATGGAAGCCCAGGCTGACGTCCTGGGGGCGGGGGGAGCCACACATTCCTGCCCAGGGCCCAGGACCTGGTGCAGGCTGTGGGTGCTACACACAGACCCAGATGCAAGAAATAATGCTTTTATTGCACTGAAGACTTTTCTGGAAGCCTGGAGGGAGCCGGGGGGGCCCTTCTCCCTTCAGTCCAAGGCAGTGCCACACTCTACTGCCTGTCCCACCAGGAAGTTTGGCTCTGAAATGGAGGGTCGGCCCCTCCCCCTCTGGAGGGACTGTGAAGGCCATTTGGGGGAGGCAGGGGTTGGGGGTGTGAGCGCCCAGGGAGCAGAGGGAGTTAATTTCTGTTTAGGCTGGAAACTGAGGGAGGGCGTGGCCACATCTCCCCCAGAAAACGTCCTGAGTCCTGAGTCGTGGGCTGGAGCAGAGAAGGTACTGTGGTGTCAGCTCGAAGGTCAGGGTCCAGGGCAGGGTGGCTCCTCCCCAGGCCCCGACCACAGGCCCCAGGAGCTAAAGGAAGCCCCGTGGAGGGCGAGTTTGCCCTGGGCCTGCAGCACAGCCCTCACTGCCCTGAGATCTCCTGCCCCAGGACAGAGGCAAGTCACAAAGTGAGCCGGTAAGAAAAAGACAAACACGGTTTCTATAAAAAGCCCGCCCGCCCGGGCCCCCTGGTCAGCTGGGAAGCAGCTCGGTCTTCACCCTTTTAGGGGTCCTGCGGGGGGCAGGACTGTCCAGCTGCTCCCTCTTGGGGCTGACGGGCCCGGAACCATTGTGCTGAGCGGGGGGTTCGGTTGTGGGCTCTCGCTTGGGGCCGGCCGGCGCTGGACCATCGAACTGGGTGGGGGCCTCCTCCTTGGGCTCCAGCTTGGGGGCGGGCGGGCGGGGCAGGGGCGTCAGCGCCCTCTCCACCACGCGGGGCCCGTCCCAGGCGGGGATCTCCAGGCCCAGGTGTTTCATGAGCCGGGTCATGACCTCGTCTACGTAGCCGTGGATGCGGAGGTCAGCCTGGCGGTCCTGCTGGGGCAAGGACATGTGAGCGGAGGCAGAGGGCCATCGGGTCCTGGGCTGGGGGAAAGGTCAGGGGCGGGCTCAACACATACGTGCTTGGTGGGCTGGAGGTTGACGATGACCAGCCTGCCTCCGCGGCGCTTGGTGGCCAGCGGCAGGTTCCCGCTGGGCCGGATTTGGAGGGAGGTGCCTAGTGTGACAGACAGGTCCGCGATCCTGGGGCCGGGAGGCGGGGTTAGGCTGACCTCTCTACACAGTTTCTGCAGCCCTCCTCCTGCCTCACCCTTGGGAGTGGGGGTCTCAAACTCTACCGCAACATGCCCAGGTGCACCCCGGGAGGCCCAGCTTCCCTGAATCCTGCCCCTGTCGCTTCCCTCCCACTGTTGGCAGAGGGAAGTTGCTGATGTGGGCCGGAGCTCCACACCTGGACTCCTGGGTTGAATCCTGGCTGGGTAGCACTGGACAGAGGAGTCACCTTGCTAAAATCTCAGTTTCCCTGCCTGTGAAATGGGCCCGGTGTAGAACCCCCTGGGCTGTGGTGAGTACCCTGTCTGTGAAGCCCCTGGCCCAGGGTCAGGTATATAAGAGGGCTAGTACCTAGCAGCTGCCATTATTAGGGGAAATCAATGCCCAAATAGGGTTCAAGCCGCCTCCTCCAGGAAGCCTCTCCTGACTCCACCTCTGAGCTGGAGCTTGCCCTGTGCGGAAGCTGGTTGTGTTTTGCCCCTCTCCCTGCCTGCCCCGCCCTGGGCTCATCTGGGGTCTGACCTGCTGGCTTCATCAGCAAGAGTGAGGTCCCGTTCGGGGAGGGCGTCCTCCCAGTCCAGGATGGTGTCTCTCAGCTCCCCCCTGCGATGGTGAGGGTTGGGGGGAGTCAGTATGGAGACCTGCCGCCTCCCCGGGAGCCCAAGGCGTGGACAGGGGTCACTCACCTGCAGGCCCGCAGGCCTCTTGCCTTGGCCATGGTGCAGAGCCGGCCAGTGGCTTTGAGGCCCATGGTGCCCACCACAGTGTCCCGGACATATTGCCTACATTAGAGAAGGAAAGAGGGATGGTGGGGCCTGGTCAAGCCCACCACCTCCCCACCTTAGGGCCCCACCCAGTGGTCCTTGTTCTCCCAGGGAAGTAGGGGCTACATGACTAGAGTCTAAGCACAGGGAAACACCCAACACGCCCAGAATGGGGGGAGGGAGCCTTCCATGAACAGCTGCTTTGCAACATCAACAGCATGGGAAACAGACCAAGGCCAGGAACTTTCTAGACAAAGGAGACTAAAGAGAAGTGACAGTGACAGGCAAAGTGTGACCCGGCTTGGATCTTGGACGAGGAGAAAAATAGCAACAATGGGAGCACGGGGAATATTAATTGGAGACGGAATCATCGTGTTACGTGGTTTTTACATTTCCCAACTTTAACAACTTCACTGTGGCTGGGGAAGAGAATACTGAAGCTTGAGGGAGATAAATGTCTTAAGGGTTTTGGGGCAAAGGATAAGGAAGCCTGCCACTTATTCTTGAACAGCACAGCAAACCCTGGTAACAGAGAGAGAAGGGAAGACAAATTGTGGCAAAACAGTAATATTGGGGAATCTATTCAGGGGTCAGCAAACTATGGCCCCAGGGATCAAATCTGGCCCTCCTGTTACGTTTTTCTAAATAAAGTTTTATTGGCACATGGCCATGCCGATTCCTTTATGTGTCATTTATGGTGGCTTTTGCACTACAACAGCGGAGCCAATGGTCATGAGAAAAACAGTCTGACCCACAAAGCTAAAAATATTTACCATCTGGTCTTTTAAGGAATGTTTAACTTCTGGTCTAGGTTAAGTATGAATTCATCATACATTCTTGTGAGTTTCCCATTGGTGTGAATATTTTTCAAATATGGAGGAAAAAATTTTTTATAACAAGTGTAAGTGTGGGAAGGGGGGTCTCACTTGTGCCCCAGTCCCCACGAGCCCACCTACAGGAGGTGGGCAGGGTCACGCTCCTGCCACTGACACCCACAGTTATCCATATCTGTGAAGCTCCCCCACGGAGCAAGACACGCCCAGAGCCCACCTATTCCAGGAAGGGCTCTGGCTCAGCCTTCTCGGACCTGGGGTCACGCCCGTCAACCCACAACCCTGTTATGGGTTGAATTGTGTGCCCCATATGATATGCAGGAGTCCTGATCCCGGTACTTTAGAATGAGACCATATTTGGAAAGAGGGTGGCTGTAGAGGTCATGAGTTAAGATGAGGTCACAGTGGAGTAGTGTGGTCCTGGTCCCACACTAGTATCCTTGTAAGAAAGGGGACACAGAGACGACGGGCATGTGACAACAGAGGCAGAGGCTGGAGTGATGCATCTACAGCTAAGGAACGCCCAGAAGGTCAGAAACCACCAGAAGCCAGAGCAGTGGAAGGATCCCCCTGCGGGTTTCAGAGGGAGCATGGCCCTGCTAACACCTGGATTTTGGATTTCTAGCTTCCGGAACTGCGAGGACACACATTTCTGTTGTGTTAAACCACTTGGTTTGTGATTACATGTGGTAGCCACAGGATATGAATACACCTCCCCAGGAGGAAGATGTGCCCTGCTGCCCCACACCCCCAGGATCACACCCCAGTCCTGTCCCCCCACCCTGGGTCTCTTGGTCTCAGATTCAACTCATAAGGCCCTTTTGCAGAGCCCAACCTGGAAGGAACAAAAAACGGGCCTGGGTCACCATACCTGCCTGCCCCCACGCCCCTGTGACACTCACGTCTTACACTTGACACATTCTTCTACAAACATGTTCCCATGAAGCTCTGCCAGCTTGTCCCTGTGGGAGGAGAAGACGTTTGGTGGTGCTGTGAGCTCCCTGAATCCTGAGGCTTCAGGTCTGGTGCCCAGTCCTCCTCCTCCAGGAAGCTTTACCTAAACCCTCATCCACAGGATCCATGGACTCCCTCCTTCTGGTTTCTCCAGGTGTGCAACCCCGGGCAGCTGGCCCAACCTCTCGGAGCCCAAGGAATCATTAACCCCACAGCTGACCCCACCTCCATACCTGGGCAGCCCATTCTATTAACAAAATCCACCCATAAGCATGGTGGAACCTCCCAATGTCACCAGGTCTGAAGGATGGGAATTCCCAAGTTTGCAAAGGAAGAAATTGAGGTGATAGGTGGTTCTGGAGCATGTGCTTTGACACAGAGGAATATGAAATCAACTCCTAGCATTGTTGCCTCCCTGCTGTGTGACGTTGGGCAGGTCACCTAACCTCTCTGTGCCGAATCCCCATCTGTGAAATAGGATGACAGTGTCCAACTCTTAGGATGTTTGAGGGAACAATTATTAGGCCTGGAAGGCTCTTTCTTATGGCTCCCTCTGTCACCTCCTTCATGTCCCTACTCAAATGTCATAGCCACCCTGACCTCCCTGTTAAAAGTTGCAACTCCCCACACAGTCCTCCCTAAACAACCCTCTCTTTTTCTTCTGTGGCAATGATCACTGTCGGACATAGAATTTAATATGCTTATTTATCTTGTTTGCTGTCTGTTTCCTTCCCACTATAGCATAAGCCAGGAGGGCAGGGCTTTCTGTCTGTCTGGTATGCTATGTCCTGCCTCTAGAACTGATATGGCATGCAGTAGGTGCTCAATAAATAGTTGTTGAGTGTGGCCCATTTTGCTCCTACCTGTACCCAGGTGGTGCTGGGGGATTGGTGTCTCCCCAGTTTGCGCACAGAGACTGGTGTCACTGAGCAGTGAGCAGTGGGTGCTGGGAGTGGCCTGGGTGGAGGCAAGGGAGCTGACCGAAAACCCATCAGTCAGGAAATTGAAGGCACTGAAATCCCCAGATACACTCCTGTCCCCGCCGCCACCCCCCCCCCCCCCCCCCACCAGCGGCTCCCTCTATCTCTGGGTAGCTTTGTCACATCCACCTACACACCCCAGCTCAACGCTGCCCGGGTGTAGGGACCTGGACTTCCGTGTTTTTGTAGAGGCCCTGAACACCTGTGCCACAGGAATGTATTTGCTATACGTTTGCTTTTATTTCTAGAAACGTCTACCCGGGCCATAAGGGCTAGGTCTGCAGCCACCTACCTAGTGAATTACTCTGCTTGGAGGGATAATAAGGTGCCCAGCAGTAACAGCTCGAATAGGGCCCCAGGGTCACCCAGCCAGGAAGGCTGGGGTCTTCCTTTCTCAGGTATTTACATGTTGAAATGGATGAAGGCCCAGAACTTGGAGACATTTCTAGGTCAGAAGAGCTGCCTGACTCCTGGAGAAATTTTATTTGTGCCTGAGGCCTGGAGTTAGGACTCGGCCCATTTCCGAAGCGCAGAGGACGGCTGCCTCAGTCTCCTTTGCAAGCAGAGACAAGGCCTTTCCCTCCCCCCTTGCCTGGAGGGCCTGGCTACTTGTATGAACTAACTGGGGCTCTCGTTGTCCCCAAGGGCAAGATCAGGGAAAGTGGGTAGGGAGGGCGACACACTTGGCATTAAGGAATCAACCTTTCTGCCCAAAACCAATGTTCACATTCAGAGTAAAAGTTATAAAGACGAATATTAAAATGCAACTGCAAATCCTAGACCCTGACCACCCTCCTCCCCGCCTCAAGGGAGATTGCAGACACCCTCGGACCTGAAAAAAGGGGACCGAATTCTTGAGATGTGCCCAGGAAGCACTGACAACGACAGCTCTGGTTGGAGAAGTCCTATTCGGTGTCAAGTGCTGTCCCCTGTGGCCTCCCGAGGGAGGGGCTGCCACCAACCTCTATTCTGCAAATAAGGAAACGGAAGTCCAGAGAGGGGGAGCGGGTGTTACCTAGGAAAGCCAGAGCGCACGTGCAGCCCATCCACGTTCTGGCTGACCAGGAAGCGGAGAAGGCCCACGCGCTCCAGCTGCACTAGCGCCATGTGCGTCTGTGTGGGCCGCGCGCTCTCGAAGGTGGTGTCGAACTTGGGAGCCAGGCCCCGCTCCTCCATCGTCCAGACGCCATGGGGGCCTCTGAAGGTGGCATGTAGGGAGAGATGCAGACAAAGAGTTTAGGGATCAGAGAAAGGGGGGGACATAAAAAGAGACAGACAGCCTGGCCAGTGTGGCTCAGTGGTTGAGCGTCAACCCATGAACTAGGAGGTGACAGTTTGATAGTCAGGGCACATGCCTGGGTTGCGGGCTTGATCCCCAGTAAGGGATGTACAGGAGGCAGCCAATCAATGATTCTCTCTCATCACTGACGTTGCAACCTCTTTCTCTCTCCTCCTTCCTCTCTCTGAAATTTTTTTTAAGAAGAGAGACAGACAGCCCTGGCTGGGCGGCCTAGTTGGTTGGAGCATCTTCCCGTACACTAAATGGTTGTAGGTTTGATTCCTGGTCAGGGCACATACCTAGGTTGTGGGTTCAATCCCCATTCAGGGAGCATACGGGAGGCAACTGATCAATGTTTTTCTCTCTTTCTCTAAGAATCAATAAAAACATATCCTCCAGTGAGGGTTTTTTAAAAAAGAGAGACAGAGAATTGAAGATAGACAGAGAAAGACAGAGAGAGAGAATGAGACAAAGGGGGAAAGGGGGGAAAGAGAGACTGAGAGGGAGGAAGAGGAGGAAGAAGAGAGAACAGTGTACACCAAGGGCAAAATTAATTATTCAATTCACCAAGTTACTGTCGCTGCAGAGCCTGGCCCTGTGCTGGGTGATGCTGGGGACCTAGCGGAACCAGGCCCTGCCCGAGGAGTCCTTGATCTTGTCAGGGGAGACACTGTGGGCACAGACCCTTCAGCCCTGAGGGCTGGGCTGGCCGGTGGAGGCAGTGAGGGCTGTGTGAGGACTGTGGAAAGGCTTCCTGGAGGAGGCTGAGCTGTCCCTTACACTGTAAGAGGGAAGGCAGGGCAGTTCAGGCAGAAGGGCAAGCAAAGGCCTGGGGTGCTGGCAACAGCCTGTGCGTTTGGGGAAATGCAAGTGGTCTGGGGGCTACAACGGGAGCGGGAGGTTGAGGAGATAGCCTAGGGCTGGGTCGGGAAGGGCTTGGAACTCTCCAGTGGCGCGATGGGGAGCCATGGCAGGTTATGGAGGAGGCGGGGGTGGGGGGGGGGGAATCATGCCTTAGAATTCTAACATTCCTCCAAGGAATCTGCTCTTCTGCTACCGGGGGCTCAGGAACCTGAAAAACAGTATAAATGCAATAGGCCTGCCCTTTGGGGCAGGGTTGCGAACTCAGCAACTACGGAGCAATCTGGGGGCCACCAGGTTGAGAACCTTGCTTTTCAGCTACAAAATTCTTGTCACACAGGCTGCCTGGAGTGTGGGTGGTTTATCAGATTTCACACCCTCAGTTATGGGTAAGCCCCTTGCCCGGTACCAGGCCTGATAGAAAAATATTTGCGAGTGTGGAGCTAACTGACTCTGACATGAGCCTCCCTGTTTTCTGGGTAACAGTACCCTGATCTTTAGCTATGCACAGTGAGCCCCGCATCCCCTGTAGCTAGGAATGGACAGGTGACCAAGTTTTGGGCTGAGTGAAATGCTGGGTGTGATTTAAAGGGACAAGTCTGAAGGGAGGGGTCTTTCCCATCCCAAATACGCAGGGGGTGGAGGGTCATGACTCAGCGAGGGGAAGGCAGCAGGATGGATTCTGATGCTGGGGTATCTGTGCCTCACAGGGAAGCCCTCAGTAGCTAGCAGGTCCTGCCTAGACTGCCCCTCCACACCTACAGACCTGAAGTCAGGGATGCCCGAGGCGGTGCTGATGCCAGCGCCCGTGTGGAACACCACATGGGAGGACTGCCAAACCAGCTGTGCCAGCTCCCACACCTTCCGCTCCAACTCCTCAGGGGGGTCGAAGATCTGTTGTGCGAGAGAGCAAAGGGCAGTGATGTGATCAGAACCTGTCCCACAGTTGCAAGGCCACTAGCCACAGACCGAGCTGCCCCTGCTTCGACGGGAGTGAATCTGAAAAGGCAGCTTGTCATCATGTCCCTGCTCTGCCCACAGCCCCCCAGGGCTCCCACCTTCCTCGGGCCAAAGCCCCAGTCCTCCCTGTGGCCCAAAATACTCTTTTCCTAGCCTCCCTCATCTCCTTTAGGTCTTGGTTCAGAAGACACCTTATTTATACACCTAGGTTCACAGTAGCATTACTTACAACAGCTAAAACATAGAAGCAACCCAAGTATCCATTGATGAATGAATGGATAAACATAATTCTGACACACGCTACAAGGTGAATGAACCTTGAGGACACTGTTTTGAGTAAAAGAAGCCAGACACAAAAGGACAAATAATGCCCCAGCTGTGCTCAGTGGTTAGAGCGCCGGCCACAGACTGAAGGGTCTCAGCTTGGATTCCGATTAAAGGCTCGTACCTCGGTTGCAGGCTCGATCCCCAGCCCCAGTCAGGGCACCTGCAGGAGGCAAACAATCTATGTGTCTCTCTCACATTGATGTTTCTCTCTGTCTCTCCCCATCCCTTCCACTCTCTCTAAAAATCAGTGGGAAGAAAAATCTTCGGGTGAGGTTAACAAACACAAAGGACAGCCTTAGCCAGTCTGGTTCAGTGGATAGAGCGTCGGCCTTCGAATCAAAGGGTCCCGGGTTTGAATCCAGTCAAGGGCATGTACCTCGGTTGCAGGCTCCTCCCTGGCCCAGGCCCTGGTCAGGGCACGTGCAGGAGGCAACCAATTGATGTGTTTCTCTCACATCGATGTTTCTGTCCTTCCCTCTCTCTTCCACTCTCTCTAAAAATCAATGGAAAAATATCCTCGGGTGAGGATTAAAATAAAAAAAAAAAAAGGACAAATACTGTGTGATTGCACTTTATGAAGTTCCTAACGGAATCAAATCCATAGAAACAGGAAGTAGATGATGGGTGCCAGGGGCTCGGGGAGGGGGATCGGGAGTTACAGGTTTAATGAGGTCAGAGTTTCACTTTGGGAAGATGAGAAAGGTCTGGAGGTGTGTGGTGGGGATGGCTGTGCAACATGGATATACTTATGCCATTGACTGTAAGTGCACGGTAAGATGATAAGTGTTATGAAAGGTGCACTTCGCCATAACAGAAAACACTGAAAAAGCCACCTCAGGGATCCTCCCGGCCACCTGGCTCCATGCAGCCCCAGCGCTCATCCCCGCCAGCTTCCTTTCCTCCCAGGCCCTCTCCTTAGCTCACTTCCTATATTTACTTGCTGCTTCTCTCTTTCCCCCCTGGAATGAGGGGGTTTTGTCAGTCTTGTTCCCTGCTGTGGCCCCAGGACCTAGAAAGTGCCTGGTGCACAGTAGGTGCTCAATAAACAGTTGAGGAATGAAGCCAACACAGGCAGGCGAGGAACCGGCCTTCCACGGGGATTCGCACCATCTGAGAGCTCCTTGCAGTGTGTCTGACTCAGAACGAACCGAGCAGCTTTTATGGGATGAGGGCAATCCCCCCGCAACCCCCCAAGTTCACAGAAGGGGAGACTCCTCTCCAGAATGGAGGTGACAAGCCCGAGGTCTCAGGATGCGGGGGGGACTTCTCTCGGAGTAGCTGAAGGGAACATCCATCCATCCGAGGTTCCTGCCCAGCTCACAACCTGCTTCCATCGCCCACAGGACACAGCCAACTCCCCAGGCTGGCACCGGGGGCGGGGGGGGGGGAGGGCTGGCATGGGGGGCTGTCCTCGCCTGCCTCTAGCTTACTCTGTCCCCGAGCGCATCTATCCCGCCCCCGCCCCCGCCTTGGCCCCTGCAGCGCCTTCCGCCGAGAACTACATCCCGGGCACCCCCATCAGAACTTCAGGACTTGGCCACGCGGGCCCCCCCCTTCGGACCAGCCCCGCCGACCCGGGCTGGGCATCTTCGCGCCCCCGGGCGCGCTGGGAGGCGTCACTTCCCACCCATCCTCAGGGGGAAGTCCCTCCCATTGTCTAGCTTCGGTGCCTCCTGAGAGTCCCCATGCCCCGCTGCCGCCCGCCCCCCCCCCCTCCGGCCCGCGGCCACGGAAGGGGCGCCCTGCGAGGACCCCCGGCCACGCTCACCTCCGGGAGGCCGCACTTGCCCTTATCCGCGTACGGCGATAGCCCCGCCGCGTAGTTCACCGACATCCTCGCCCCCCAACGGGAACAATAAAGTTTCCCTTGTTGAGGCCACTTCCGCCGGAAGTCGGGAGGGACGCGGCAAAGGCGGGGCCGCCCGGCCGCTCCCTGCAAGGCGCATGCGCCTCTCGCTGACGCCTCAGGCGCCATGTTAACTGCTGGTAACGGAGGCCGGCTCGCTTCCCACCGCTCGCGGGGGGCGGGGGCGGGGCTGTGAGCCCTCGGGGCGCAGGGCGGCCGCCCGCGTGAGTGTTCTCAGTCGCCGCTGGTGCGAGGGACACAGCCATTGCGCCTTTTCATAAATTAGTAAACCGATGCCCCGCCTCCGCCCCCACCTTGCGGAGGATGCAGTCACAGAGAAGGGTCCCGGGACTCGGATTTCCAGCCCAAGGTGCTTCCCACCGCGCATTTCGGAAGTTTATAAAGTTACAAGTGAAGGGCACCCGAGGCGGGAGCCTCACTAGAGAGAACTCTGGGTGGCACTGTTACCTGACTATCCAGGTGGGTGATGATCGCTCGGCAGGATGGTCCCGTTTAGGACGCATTGAAGAAGCACGTGCTGAGCGGCCCCCACGCCTTGCTTCCCCATTTCTCTCTCAGTCCTCCCCCCCCCCCTCCCCAAGTTCTAAGCGTCCCAGAGACTTGCAACCAGGGAAGCAGTGGGCAGCGGCAGCTCATCCCAGGCTCACCCCTGAACCTGTCTCCAAGGCCCCCTTTTCTCTGACTTTTCAGTGAGCCGACAGCAGCCCCACCGCAGCTCAGTTCTTCCTATAACAAGCAATCCCCCCCCCCCCCAGGTTCTCTGCTGTTGCTTCTAGGCTAAGCCCCTCCTTGTTTCCCGGTCCCCAGCTTTAATAAATGTGCTCTCAGAACAAACAAGCAAAGACCCCAACACGTGCTGAGCACCTACTCCTGTGTGCTAAGGAGACACCGGAACAGAAGTGTTGCCTTGTGGCTGACGATGGCTACAAACCAGTGCCCGGGCAGTGGTGACTGTGACCGAGGTGCAATGAGGAAACGCAGAGGAGGCACCGACCCAGCCGGGGGCATCCAGACAGGCTTCCTGGGGGAGGGGATGTCATAGCCAAGATCTGAAGAGTGAGCAGAGGTGAGAGGGGGAGAACGATCCAGTTGGGGTGACATGGGGCACAGAAAGAGTGCTCCTGGCAGAGGGAACAGCAAGTGCAAAGGCTGGGAGGAGAGGAAGAGAGTAGCTCATTCCAGAAACTGAACTAGGGCCAGTGATGATAGGGAAGAACATCGGTGTCTTCCCACTAGATCCCGCTGGCCAACGGGCAGCCCCGCTGCCAACCTGCCTCCTCCCTCAGCTCGTCCCCGGCCCCCTGGGGCTGCTGCCCGCCCAGCTGATCGGGTGTCAGAGCTGAGTGCACAGTGTTGCTGGTGCTCGCTGGTGGCCCAGCAGGGAGCGGGTAACCGGAGCCCGCAGTGAACACAGTGGCCTGGTGCTGGAGTCGCTGGGACAGCAGGAGGTAGGAGAGGAAGGAGAGAAGGGAGGCCTGGGATGGGGGCCCCGTTAGGACCTCAGGTTCCTGGCCCCTGAGCCCTAGCATGTGGGAGAAAGGAAGGGCCGGAATATATCCCAGCCACACCGAGGGACTACCCAGGCACCCTGACAGACACGCACTTGTGGGTGCATGCGCCTCCCACTTCTCAGCCTCCGTCGTCTAGTCTCGGGTATGTACCCTCCTTTCCTGCTGCTTAGTGTCCTGTCTGGCCTTCAGGCCCTGCTTTTATATCATCGCCTCTTCCGGGAAGCGGCTCCCTAGATGCGGGCACTTCCCCCTCCCCCAAGCCGACAGATTCCCACCTGCTCAAGCAACCTGTGGACTCCGCATTGTGGGTGTCTCATTACACTCTTCTCTGGGTGTGATTGAGCCCTTCAGACAGGGGTAAAGGAAAAGGATGGGGTGGGTGGTGAGCAAAAGGGGTACATTGAGTGAATGGAATAAATTGAAGAGGTGAATGAACGGATGGGCACTAGATGGATGAGTGGGTGAATGGAAAAATGAATGGATTTATAGAAGGGTGGATGGATGGTTAGATGGTAAGTTGATAAGTCAGTGTAGGGTGGATGGACGATGGATGAATGAGTAGATGGGTGGGTGGGTTTTGGAGGTTTAGGTGAGTGCATACATGGGTGGGTGGGTAGATGGGTGGGTGGGTGATGGATGGGTAGATGGATAGGGGGTGGGTGATGGATGGAGAATGAAGCATGGTTGGAAGGTGCTTGAAGGACCACGAGAAGATGAGTTGGGCGGGTGAGTTGGTGGGTGGGATATATAAGTCCTGAGGTAGGAAGATGGATGCACAGGTGGATGGGGAGATGGATTTAAGCATGGATTGGCGGGGGGGTGAGGGGGTGAAAGACACACCTTCACAGAAATCTCAGACATAGGAAGGGGTCCTGAGCCCCACATCTAGCAAAACAGCCCCTCGAGGCATACCTGTCTGACCTGCCTACTCCTGCACATGCATGGAACACAGAACAGGCCAAGGTGCACAGGCATGCATGCACACACATGCCTCCTGCTTGTGTGTGCATATGCATGCACATAACCATCGACCCAGACCTTCACCCCCCGTGGGTGACTTTCCTCCATGCCTTCAGTTGTGTGGAAGCCAGGCTGGTAAAAGGGGATTTCGCTGCAAGGATGTTCTCTCTGACTCTCCAAGAAACATGCCTCTGTGCTAAGAGCCTCCGCTCTGGGCCTGGCCCCCAAAGAGCCCCTAACTATTCAGAATTCTAACTATGATAGAATTAGCCCAGACACTGAGCTTACGGAGCCAGGGCTGGGTTAGAAGAGACCCAGGCAGGGCTGAAGGAACCAAATTTGGTGAGTTAGAGCTCTGCCTGCTGGTGAGAGGCAAAACTGATCAATCAGAACGTGGGATTTTGAAACTGGGCTGCATCGGATGAATAGGAGTTCACCAGAGAAGGAATAAAGAAAGGAACATCTTAGGTAGAAATAACTGCACAGTCAAAAGCTTGGAGACCAGAAAAAACCTGATCTTCTTGGGCCGCAGGAAATAGTGGCAAAGTGCATTTTGGAGCCCCTACTGTTTGCTGCCCCAATGCTACAGGCCTCACCGAAAACTAACCATGAGTTGGTCAAGAGGGGATGTCTTCCTTAATTTAAGGGTGAGAGATGTGAAACTTAGGGCAAATGCCCAGCTGAAGGACCCACGGCAGTTAGGAGATGGGGCATGTCTGTGTCCTGCTCAAGGGGCCAGGGTGGCGCAGGGAGGAGGAAGTGGTCCTTCTGAGGAGGGGAAGGCTGCTGACCCTCCTGCTCGCCAAGACTGATCCCCTTCCCCCGTCCTTTCCCAGGGGGCCTGGGTTGCGGAGAAGCCTTGTGTGCTGGCCATGAAGACTCTCCGGGCTCGATTTAAGAAGACAGAGGTAAGTCTGAGGCCACTGAGGTGCATGCTGTCCCCCACCCTCAGGTGGCTGTCCCCCAAGCCTGGCTGAAGATGCACTGGGCCTTTGGGCCGTTATCCTCTGCCCAGCAGATTCTTCTGGCAGCTTCCATAGGACCAGGGTCCTCCCTGTTCAAAACTCTTCCATAGTGTCTCACCTCCCACCGGCGCCAGTTTACCCCTTAATTTCCTCTCTACTGCCCCCTGCTGTCACAGTGTCCTCACGGTCTCCTGTTCAAGCTTTCCAGCCACCATACCTTTGCCTAAGCTGCTCCTCCACCTGGAATGCCCACTCCCAGAATTGTTGCCTCCCACACCCTTCCCATCCCTTCTAATTTGGCTCCAATAACACGTCTTCCAGGAGATCTCTGTTCTCCCCAGCTACAGTGACCACTTGATTTTCGGAGGACTCACTTTCTTGGGGACCTTGATCTCTTTTTTTGTTTTTATTAGGCAAATTTTTTATAGTTTTCATACATCAGAGCAGCTTCACATTCAAGGAATTTAATTGATTAAAAAATACAATTCAGCCCAGTCGGCGAGGTTCAATTGGTTAAGTGTCGTCCTGGGCACTGAAAGTTGCCGGTTTGATTCCAGGTCAAGGCACATAGCTGGGTGGCGGGTTTGATGTCCGGGTCTCTCTCTCTCTCTCTCTCTCTCTCTCTCTCTCTCTCTCTCTCTCTCTCTCCTTTCCTCCCTCTCCCTCTCTCATTTTCTTCTCTCTAAGCATCTACTCAGATGAGGATTAAAATCAACAATGCTGTCATTATCTACACATTTTTACTGTCACATATTAGGTGCTTTTTCAAGTCACATTTAATTGTCAGTATTTTACATGATAAAGCTGCCAACTACCCTTGGGGAAAAAATTTATTGAACTTATTGAGGTGACATTGGCTAATAAAATTATATAGGTTTTAGGTGCACAATTCTATAATACCTCATTTGTATATCGTATTGTGTGTTCACCAGATCGCTTGCTTTTGACAGTCTATTCAGCAAACATTTGCATCAGGCACTGTTTGGGCATAGGACAAACAGCAATGAATAGGGCAGACAGAAATCTCTGTCGTCAGGCGCTGACAGCCGGGTGGGGAGATGAACACGAAACAAGATAAATGAGTGGAAAGGCATATTTTGTGCCATTGAGACAAAGAAAGTAAGGAAAGGGGATTGGAGTGTCTAGGCCTCTAGGGAGACGGTTGTCAGTCAATTGAAACTGAGCTATGTAGGATGAATAGGTTGCAATTTTATTTTTATTTTGAAAATGCTTTTTTTTAGAGAGAGAGAAAGAGAGAGAGGAACATTGATTTGTTCCACTTGTTCATGCATGCATTGGTTGATTCTTATGTGTGCCCTGACCCATCGAATCTGCAACCTTGGCGTATCAGGACAATGCTCTAACCAACTCAGCTACCCGGCCGGGGCTAGGTTGCACCTTTAAACCCGTTGTCAGCAAAAGCCTTTCCAAGAAGCTGATATTAGAGCAAAGACCAGAAGGGAAAGAAGGAGGGACTTGTGTGTTTACTTGAGGGAACTGCATTTCAGGCAAAGGGAATAACCAGTGCAAAGGCCCTGAGGTGGAGTCCAGCTGGCTTCCCTTAAAGCTAGC